CCCCCCCGCGCCCGCCGCTCGCCATCTTGGAGGAGACGAGGGGAGGAGAGGGGCGACCTCTGCCCCGGAAGAGAATCTCCAAGTTGGCCTGGCGGAGGAGGAAGTTGGTGGTTGCTAGGCGACCGGGAGTCGCGAGCTTGTAGGTCCCAGAGCTGGCGTCGGAAACCGGTCTTCTTCCGGTCTCGCGGGGAGAAATTTGTTTTCCTAGTGACTAGCGCCCCTATTCCGGCTGGAAAGGCGGCTGCAGGAAGGGGCTCACCGAAATTGTCAGCCAAAGCCGCGGGCGTGCTGGTGCGACCATTGTGGTCAGGCTGCGGCGGGGCGACTGGCTTCGGGAGAGAAGAGTCTGTGAGATGCTAATTAATTTAAGAAACTCTAGGGAGTCCCTTGAAGGAGGCAGGTAGAGGCACAGCTTCTCAGGAGTGTTTCGGAATTGCCATTTCAGGACTTGAACAGTGATCAGGAGAACTCGGGGCTGATTCTGCGGGAAGTGAAGGTAGGTCTGGTACTGACGCAAATGCAAAGGCACTACTGTTAATTTCTCCGAGAGCCAGTCTAGGAGCAGAGGGCTGGAAGCCTAATCAGCGAGAATGTCCATGTTCTGAACTGGATTCTACGACTTATGTAGATGCCACAGTAAACTAAGGAAATGTGTTCACGTACCTAGTCTACATTCTGGTTCTAAGGGTCAACTTCCTTGTGTAGCGCTGGAGAGCCGTTGTAGGAATGTTAAGCAAGCGCTCTTAAAGTCAGCTATACAAGATTGTACATGAGGCCAGTCTTACTATCACTACTTGTTATAATTACCATGGAGACCTGTGCTAAACCCCCCACAAACACACTTCCTCCAGGTTCTCCTAACACGGTTGCTATTCAGCTTGTTTGGCAAGACAGGGTTTCTCTGTCTCACTGTTCTGGCTGCCCTGGAGCTCAACTTGTAGACCAAGTTGGCATCGAACTCTTGATCTGCCTGTCTCTGCCTGGGATTAAAGGTGTACGCCTGGCTGCTAATCAGCTTTTAAACCAAATATTTACTTCCCATTTCTTGTCTGAGTCAAGGGCTGAAACTGTTTAGCCAATGGTCATATGTCTGCCAACTTTGTGTGCTCAGTGCAATACATCATACTGAACTTATGAAGAAAGATTATTTTGGATCACAATTTCACAAATTTCAGCCCATGGTAAGTTGGCTTTGTCGTTCCTTGGTGAGGAAGAGCATCATGGTAGTTGCCCAAATCTACTCACTTACTGATTACAAGGAAGCAAGAAAGTGAAGAAGCCCCAGTCCAAACCTCTTCTTTAAGAGGACACCCCAACTAAGCTCCACCTTCTACAGGTTCCCTCAACCCTTAACAGTTCATTAGGATCTTTAGAGGACAGCTGCTGGACACGCAATAGTTCTGTGTCCGCATCTTTGGGAATTTGCATTTTTAATTCAGGGAGTATTTCAGAACCACATACATGCCTGTGCTAGAAATTTACAGTTGCTGAGATAAGGAGATATCCCTTTTGTTCTCTGTATTTTTTCTCTAGAGATCAGAAAGTCTATCAAAAGTACCCTGTCACTATGCCATATTAAGATCATTTAAAATACTGAAGCATTTGCCCAGCACACACAGGGCCCTGAGTTCAACCCTTTCCAAAGAGGTGGGTGATCCCACAAAAGACAAAAATCATTAAAACTAAACACCCCCCCAACACACAAACAAAACAACCAAAATCTCCAAATACTACAAAGAACTGTTATGGGTTTTGTTGTTTGTTCTTTTTTTTTTTCCCTTCCCCAGACATGCTTTTTGTGTAGCTTTGGAGACCAGACTGGCCTTGAATTTATATAGATCACCTGCCTCTCTGCCTGGGACTAAAGGTGTGAAACACCACCACTCTAACAAGGACTTAATACAGGCAGAAATGCAACTTTACTTATCTTTACCCCCTCAGGACCTTGTACATATGTTATAGGTTATATTTGTGGGAGGTCTCCAAAGAAAAACAATAGTGAGTAAACATGATAGTGACAATAGTTCCAGGTCAAACGAGATGGCCCTGAGCCAGGAACAGTGATGTCTAAAGGCAAGAGCCTATTTTCCACCTCAGAGAGCAAACTTACACTACCTTTTGTAGTTTGTCCTTCAACAGAATTTTACTATATTCAATGCCATATCTCCCCCAGAAACACTGGCAAAAATAATTGTATCAGCTACGTGGGCATCTCTTAGCCCAGTCAAATTCATTAGTCATTATGTAGGCACTCAAGTTTGCATGATTCCTGGTAAGCTCCCACATACTCGTTTACACCAAGTGCTATTTAGCCCCACATCACCCTGAACTGCCTTTCTTATTCGGGGACCACAGGTTAACTTGTTCCAGGGATTACCGTGTTAAATAATGGCAGTCAGGGAAGCTCCACAGCACAGAAAACCTAGCTGAAGCCCCTAGTCACGGTTAGTTTTATTTTCCATACTAGTTGTTAAATAGATGCAACATAGTCATTTGCCAGGTTTACATATATTATGACTTGATTTTAGGTTATTTATTGAAGCAAAAAAAAAAAAACCCTCAAGATTTACAAAATTTAAAAACCAGGGTCAGGGATGTAGCTCAGCTGGTAGAATGCTTGCCTAGCATCCATAAAGGCCTGGGTCCAATACTCAGCACCACAGTGGTAGTGGTAGAAGGATCAGAAATTCATGGTTACCCTTAGCTATGGATCAAGTGTGGGGCAAACACGGGCTACATGCCAAGTCTTGATACTTCATCTTAAAAGAAACTAATGGGGGCTGGCAAGATGGCTCAGAGGTAAAAACATACTGTTCTAGAGGACCTGCATGATTCCCATCGCTGTATCAGGGCTAGTTAAAGTGGACATCCCTGGTCTGAGTGGGTAGACACTCACATGCACACACCCACATGTATGCATATTTAAAAATAAAAATGTAAAAACAAATGGTCAAACTGATGATGACCACTGTTAATGGATGATCCTATTAACCAATCAACCCATGCTTAAAAATAATTTTCATGTGCTGTAGTTAGGTGGGGGTCTTTCCAGAGGGGAAGTAGAGCAGGAATTTCAACACATGGCTATGGCTATTCAAGCCCATCTAGAGGCTAAAAACAAACAACCAAATACTGTAATTCTCTAATTTCTAGGAGATACCTAGGCTTAGTAGAGTCAAATTGTGTGATGGTTAATCTTCACTGTCAAGTCGACAGGACTTATAATCACCATGGAAACACATTGTTGGATGTTGGTGAGGGTGTTTCCAGAAAAGCTTAACTGAGCCAGGATGACTCATCTTGAACGTAGGCGGCTCCATCCTGTGGGTGTGGCCATGGACAGAGTGAGAAACAGAAAAATGACCTGAGCACTAACCTTCCTTAACCTTTCTGCTAGGAGTCACCTAGGGACTCCTGTCATCATTAGCCAAAATAAACCCACCCTTTTAAGTGGCGGTGCTTAGGTGTAACTTAACACAGAGGAGGGAAACAAAGCATGCAGTATTTCTCTAGTCCAGCAGAAAACTTGTATAGCCACCGTAGTTATATTTTATGGAAATTGAAGATGATGAAGCCCACCAAAATAACCATATTAATTTTTTTCTTTCTTTTTTTTTTTTTTTTTGAGGGAGGGAAGGTGATTGTTTCCCTGGGGAAAACCTTGATTTCTCCTCCCAGGGTCTCATGCATGCCAGAGAAGTGTTCTACCACTAGACTATAGCGCAGCACCTTTCCCTTTCAAAAAGAGATCATCACATGGCCTTGAACCTGTGAGGAGCCGGGATCAGTTTCATTATCAGGCCTTGCTTACACAAGTGACTTTTAACCTCTTGTCCACAGATAGGTTTTCAAATAGTTAAAGAACCTGTGAAATACAATGGTAAATTTTGTTTATGGATTTTCATTTTTAAGGCAAGGTTTCTCTGTGTAGCCCTGGCTGGCCTTGAACTCAAAGATCCACGTGTCTCCAGAGTGCTGGGATTTTAAAAGCATGTCCCACCACCACACCTGCATCAATCCACACATTTTTTTTTTCATAAAAAAGAGGCAAACCCTTTCAGAATCTACATGGTAAAAATAAAAGTTTGCATTAGTCTCAGTGCAATCAAAGGTTCTGTGGAAAAGGGGGATTTCTAGACATCAGGCAAATGGAAAATCTCAACTTCCATTTGTATAGAAGATAGGACAGAGCTGATTCAAGGCAGACAGTGGATGCAGCAGCCTGAAGTTACAGGCTTATTAAGCACTATGGTTTTTATGATGGTATCTTTGAGACAGACAGGCAAAAACAAATGGCCAAACATAGAAAGTCTAGCAATACAGAGCTGGGAGTCATCCTAGTTGAAAGTGTTAAGGTCACCTGATACCACTAAGAGTTTTAAAGTAGAAGGCATCAATACCCAAGAAAAAGGGTTAGAAAAGATTAAGTTTTCTATCTTGATTTCTAGCTGAAGGAGTGATTGGTTAGTTACACCCTACAGGGCCCAAACAAGTAGTTCTTAAGAGGTAGCAGCTGAATAGGTGAAAGGTGAGACATACAGACTTTGTCACCATTTCATCTGCCTCAGCTCCAGAGCAAACCTAAAATGCCTTGTCATAAAATGGACAAGTAAGCCAGGTGATGGTGGCAGCAAGTGCCTTTAATCCTATAACTTGGGAGGTAGGCAGATCTCTGTAAATTCAAGGCTAACCTATTCTATAAATTGAGTTCCAGGACAGGCTCCAAACCAACACAGAGAAACCCTGTATCAAAACAAACAAACAAAAACACAAAAAAATGGACAAGTAAATTTATACGAAAACTCGTGGCTGCTCAGGTTAAACGGTAGTGGTGCCCCATAGGAAAATCAGTACTGAACAATGTAACACAGTGATTTCCAAACACTGAATTATGGGTTTAAGATAGGCTACAATAAAGATTTTCCTGCTGCTTAGCAAGGAAAAAAATACACTGAGTTCATTCATATAAAGAACTGTACAATCTACAATTCTGCCCTGCCTAGACTTTGAATATTTGTAGCAAACTTGTTGCCATGCATTTGGCACTGAAAGGCAGCATGAAATTTCAAGCTAGGCATAGTAAATATGTTCAAGACTTGAGACTTAGGACTTAAGGTACAGAAGCCAGCAGAGCAGAAGAGAGAAGTAAATAGAAGACCCAACTAGTTCAGTGCATGTGATGAATATGGCAAAGAATGGGGAAACACTGTGATGGAATCTATAACTAAGCTTCATGAAACATAGCATTTGACTTTTCAGTAATGTCAGGTGTTACAGAAGTGAATGTGGCTAGGCCCTCTGTCCAGCTATTCACTAGCAAAACCAACAACTAGCCACTACATCCACTCACTCCTTTGACTGCAGTTGTGTCCAAAATGTTTTACTAGAAAATCAAAGTTTATGGCCCACAGAGGCACCTACCATAAAACCTAGTTAAATGGCTAAGCCATAATTTACGTAGTCTTTTATTGGAATGGGAAGGAGACTACTTTTTTTCAAGAATTGTCCTAATACACAAACACCTCAGGAAGGAGCCCTTTCCATCACTTCCACTTTATGTGTTTCTTCTACCCCTATTCTCAATTTCTTTAAAAACAAAACAAAACCCCCCAAGCAAACATGGGTAAAGATGTAACTCAGAGGTAGTGCTTGCCTACCAAGTGTAAGGACCTAGGGTTTCCTCACCACCATAAAAACAAACCCAACAAAGCACAAACACATACCTTAGCTGGAGATTCATGTAGCTATGTACTTTCTTAGATAAGGACTTAGAACATACAGACCATGCAGTGAGAATAGTTATTAGCATAAACAGAAATATTTTAATTTTCAAATCATGATCCACAGAAGACCAACCAGTAGCTACTGATTTACAAAAAAATCATTATTAGCATTTAGAAATAATTAGAAGTTACAGGTGATTATGAGTCACTCCACATGGATGATGGGAACCAAATTCTCTGGTCCTCTGCAAGAGAGCCACATTGGTTCTTAAACCAGAAAGACAGCTCCAGCTCCATAAAAGACATTTCTTTGCTAATGTTACATTAACTGCCCAACAAGGATCATGTAGTGATTGATAATATAATTGAACAGTGTCATACTAATTTTTACTAACTATAAAGATTTTTTTATTTCAATACAGGGTCTCAACACATAGTTTTTCTGCCTCAGCCTCTGGTGTGCTGAGGTTACAGGAACACATCATTATTCAGAACTAGAAAATATTAATAACAAATACTCACTGACAACTTGTCAACCCCTAAAATATAGAGGACCATTTTGTTCAACAGTAAACTGAATTGTTTTCTCTGATGTGAAATCATTTTGCTTAAATTCTTTCTTTTTAATTCAAACTAGGAATGTGTAACTTTTCTCCTAAAAATTACTTTTTTTTTTTTTTTTATAAATTGCATTCTCTGATTTTCTGGTCAGCTTGCTTTAAAGATATCCATGTGTTAAGAATGCTTGCTCGAAGTTTGGCCCATACCAAATGGTTGTATAACCCAAATATCTGAGCAGCAAACTGGGCGGATCCTTCTGGAGAAAGTATAGTTGAACAGCCAAGACCTATTGGTTCAGAATAGAAAGGACAAATAAATGAGTTAGTAGCTTAAAAAGAAATAAAAAAACAAAAGATGATAATAAAGCCAAGTCTTTACTTCTTAAGAGATGCATATTAAGCAAAAAATACACAATAATTCAAAAATATAACGTCTGATTTAAAATTAGTAGGCTGTGGCTAAAATGTGTAATTAAATATTAGAAGATGAGGCTGGTAGAGACATTAAGATTGCATCTTGAAATTTTGTGTATACTCCCAGTACTGAAAATTTTCAAGATCTTACCACTGGGCAGTCGAAGGGATGACCACACATCCTGAGCACCCCAGTCTGGTGTGATGGGGGGACAGCTGATAACCGGATATGCAGTATTACCAGACATCACTGGGCCCAAACCATTGCTTCTGCCAGCCACTGCGACAAATACAGTAGGTATGCCATCGCCTAGGGAAATTACAAGATAACCAGGTCCTTTTGTTTTGTTGACAATAACAGCAGGAACAAAAAAAGGGGGGGGGGCATGTTAGATGGCTCAGTGGGTAAGGGGAACTGTTGCCAAGTCTGGTGACCTGTTTGACCTCTAGAACCCATATAGTGGCAAAGAATTGACTCTTGCAAGCTGTTCTCTAACCTCCACATATACTATAAAAATAAATGTAAAATACAAAATGAACTCAAATCCTTTAGTAGTCTGCTATAGAAAAAGCATACCTAGCTGTACAGTTAATAATAACCTAAGTAGCATAGGAATGGCCATTTTTGAGATCTACAGTATAAAGAGAATGTCCTGAAGTTGGTAAGGAAATGGCTGGTTCACAGCTTCCTTCTGATATTGCTGCTTAGACTCAGCAGCATGAAGAACCTCACCAGCTGAACAGCTATCTTTTATGATGAGTTGTCCTTCCAGAGGGTGCCAGTAGACTCATTTAATAGTGATTAAAATTCTCGTGGCTACTTCCAGTATTCAGTATTTGGGTGCTGGAGTACATGTAGTAAAAGCACCCAAAGTTAAAGGGCTTAGGATGCTTGAGTTGAAAGGCCCATCATTAGCAGTATCAAAAACCAACAGCAAAAGTACATCTCTATATCTCAAAAGTTTAGGAAGTTTGTATATTTAATACAGTGTTACTCTAGCCCAGGCTCAGCTTGAATTACAGCAAACCCGACCTTCCCACCTGTTAGGACTACAGGTCCTGGTTTTATGTGGTGCTGGATACTGAATCCTGAATTTCTTATTACAACTTAGTCTGCCTTTCTGGAGAAAGAATCCAAGCCTTCATTAGCTTATTAAAGGACCGGAAGCCCTCCTCCCATTGTTAACTACACTTCTGTTAAGTTTTCTTGTACCAACGATATCCTATCATTTACTTAATGTATTAACTCCTGAAACTATAGCTTTATTTCTTATTTTCTTTCAAGAAAACTGACAAAGATACCAGAGAGGCCCTGCTGCTTTAGCCTTAGGCATCCCACAGTTGGGGTAAGGGATTCTTTTCTTTTGGAATAAGCCAGCAACAGTGCTCAAGGGGCACTGTTAATAAGACAAGGAGACCACACATCCTTCTATTTTATGTGTATGGCTGTTTTGCCTCCATGTCTATGCATGGGTGTGGTGTGCAGTGCTCCTGGAGGCCAGAAGAAGTTGATGGATTCCCCTGGACTGGAGCTAGATGGCTGTGAGTGCTCCTCTTAATCAATGAGCCTTTTTTTTTTTTTTTTTTTAAAGATTCAAAAAAATTACAAGTATGTGTGCCTGCATGAGTTTATGGGCATCACATGCATGAGGTACACAAAGAGGGATAGGATGTCAGACATTATCCCTGGGGATAAGTGTAAAAGTATAGGCATTCCACATGACTTTCCTCCGAAATATGGAAAGCCTCTTTAAAACATTATTATCCAAAACATATGTACTTTAAAATATTTTACCCAAATCAGAAATAGCTGAAGTTGTCCATTTATTTATTAAGTTTACCTTCATACTCTGCTTTAATCCTCAAAGTTTCATCCGGTCCTTTATGGGCAGATGTTACTCGAAGTTCACATGGAATCCCGAAGTTTCCACAAGCCTTTTTAATTTTCTCACAGTGACCAAGGTCAGAAGTGGAACCCATCAGCACTACAACCCTGCACTGACTATCTGACTTCAGGAGTAACTCCACTCGATCTGCAACCCACTCAAAGTTCTTCTTTACCATCTGCAGTCCTTCCGGAGTTATTTCCTTGAGGTCACGGTAAGACTAGAAAGATAGAAATTTACAAAATAATTTTCTCTTGCTAGCTTAAAAACCCTTCCTTCCTTTCTTTAAGTAGAGCTTATGACAAGTTTACATAATGAGATATATCTGAAAATGCCCGTTGATGGAGAAATGTTTTTTCAATGAAAAAGTTCAGCAGCAAAGTTTCGCTTTTCATTCCAGGTCAAATGCTTTCTTCCTTAGCAATTACAAGTAGTTGAGTTAAAAGCCTTAATTAAGACTTGGTATGTAGAATCCCATTTCCGTCCCTTAGTCTTGGTATTGTGAAGATTAGACAAACAAGGACAGTTGTCCCTTTGCTGTTTAAGAATCTGAAGGTGACATAAAAAAGCCTGCTTTGTAGGTTAAAAGTATTCCTTACCACCACAGGAGAGTTCGGTTCACTTTTACTTTTGGATACTGAAGGTTGACTTCAGGATCTGGTGTGTGCTAAGCAAGTGCCCTGTCTTTGTGTTCTATCTCCAGAAGAGAGAGATTAATTTTAAAGGTAAACACTTAGCAATAAATCAGACTGATAACCTCTCTCACCATTATAGGGCTTGATCTTACAAAAGACAGTAAGCTCAGAGCATACCTGTTTGTCTTTCTGCTGGCTCCGATCCCCTGATGGCCAGAGTCTCCAGGAATCATTATCAATAACATCAGCCAGAACAATCTCTTTGGTGGTTACATCAACACCAAATTCAATCTTCATATCAACCAGTGTACAGTTCTGGGGAAGCCAGGACTTCTCCAGGATTTCAAATATAGCTTGGGTAGCATGACTCATGATGTCAACTTCAGTCTGGCCTATAACAAGTCCAGCAAAGCAGAACTTTGCAGCAATGAGCTGCTCCTCAGACCACTGCGGGTCATTATTGGCATCATCCTGAGAATAAAACACAGTAGCACAGTTCATTTAAATGGCAGAATTTTGAACTTCCCAGAAAAAATAAAGTCCCCTTTCCTTGAATACATTTCTAAAAATTGAAAATTTTGCAGGCAATGGTGGTGCACACCTTTAATTCCAGAACTTGGAATGGCAGAGGCAGGCAAATCTCTGTGATTTCCAGGCCAGCCTGGTCTACAATGCGAGTTCCAGGAAAGCTAGTGCCACACAGAGAAACCCTGTCTCGAAAAAGACCAAAAAAAGAATTGATATTTTCAATCTAACTTTTTCCCAGATAGCCTATGATTCAAATACTTATTTTTGTCTACTTAAAAACTTTTATTTGTATTGTGTTACAAGTGTGGAAATGAGACCAAATTCTGGTTCATTCAGGACATAACTTGACTACTTAATTATTATTTTTTTCTTTTTAGGTCTATGTTGTGTTATGCCTGCACATAATATGCCATTTGTTCACCATATGCATGCCTGGTGCCTGAGAAGGCCAGAAGAGAGATCCAGATATCCTAGAACTAGAGTTAGAAGCAGATGTGAGCAACCATGTAGCTGATGGTACTTGAACATCTCTCCAGCCCCTAATTTGTTACTTTTATAGTTCTTTTAGGTTATTTAGATGAGTCATTTATCTAGGTAATGAAATACTTAAATTTGCCAACCTCCTTGTAAAGCAATTTTTATGTGTATGTATGTTTTGATGCTTGTATATGCATCCTGTGCATCTACTTTGAAAACAATGGTCAGTTTTGCATTTTTAAGTAGTTAATGGTATAGCATGTTCATATCATGATTAAAATTATTAAAGTCCTAGCACTTGCAAGGCCAGCCTGGTCTATGAGTCCCAGGATAGCCAGGCAGGGCTACACAGAGAAACCTTGTCTGAAAAATAAAAACAAAAAACCCTTATGGACAGTGTCTCATTACATAGCCCCCAGGCTGGCCTTGAACTAGTCATTTTCTACATTCCTTCTTTTCTTTAATTTTTATTTTGAAGTAAGTGTGTGTGTTTTGCCTGCATGTATGACTGTACCTGCATACCAGATGAGACCATCAGATAATATAGCTGTGAGCCCACATGGGTGGGATCAAACCTGGGTTCCCCTGGAAGAGCAGCCAATACTCAACTGCTGCCCATCTCTCTGGCTCCTACCCTCATCCTCAAATACTGGGGAGGAGTACAGGTGCGCACCACCAAGCCCACCATGCAACTAAATCTTTTTTTTTCTTTTAAATCTTATTTATTTACTAATACAGGGTTTTGCCTGCATGTATGCTTGCAGGCTAGAAGAGGACACCAGATCTCATTACAGATGGTTGTGAGCCACCATGTGGTTGCTGGGAACTGAACTCAGGACCTCTTGGAAGACCAGCCAGTGCTCTTAACCACTGAGCCATTTCTCCAGCCCAGCAACTAAATCTTTTTTTAAAAATGTCAAAAAGCATCTTCACAGTCCCACCATCACAAAAACAAAATTTATCATTAATAATGTAAACACACATTATTGACATAAATTACTAGTATGACACAGTGCAGTAACAGATGTTTCAATGTTTATTTAACCTTGAGTTTGTGATTAAGTCACAAAAACCAGTTACCTTGAAGAACATCTCTACTTTTGGTGGGTAAAATTTATACCCTTCCTTTACACCAGGGTTCCTTTTGAGAAAAGATCCAGTTGCTATTCTTCGGCACACCCATTCAATTGGAATCATTTCACATTGGGGTGCAATGAAAGCAGTCTCCCCACATTTCTTGGTGAAAGCAGTTTTGATACCTGCATATTGATGATAAAGGGGGGAAGCAATGAATCTTTCTATAAAGATAAATAAGACCTAAGGAAGAGGTTCTTTCCTTTCAATTTATTCTGATGTATGCATGTATATGTATGCGAGTGTATTTACACGAACAACATCGCAGAACTAGTTCTCTTCGTCTTTACATTGCTTCTGGGGGTGGAACTCAGACAAGTTAGGCTTGCCTGGCAAGTGCTTTACCTGCTTAGCCACCTCAAAACACCTGTGTCAAAATAAATGTCACCACTGGATTAGAGAGAGGGTGCAGGGGTTAAGAGCACTTACTGCTATCCTAGTTTGGTTCCTAGCACCCATGCCCAGAGGCTCACAAGCCCTATTAACTCCAGTCCAGGCCATGCAATGCCTCTGGCCTTTTATGGTACCTGTATTCAAATGCACATACCCATATATAGACATAATTAAAAATAAAATCATAAAAGGTTAACAAAATAGAATGTTTTCCTACTAGTTATCAAAATAGCAGACAGTTTCATTTTAATATCACATGGCAAACCATATACTAGGCCCAAAGACCCAAGTTCACAGTGTTTTACCCTCCAGCTATTTAGCTTATCTTAAATAAGACAGTAAATTTCTCTCCTCTATACCATGGATTATCTAATTTTGTAGAATGCACACAAATCATAGCATGTTCATCTAAATGGTATTAAATTATCTCTAAAGCTAACCTGACTACAGAATTCTCATGTTCTACAATTCAGTGTTGTTCTAATCCTTATAGAGTGAGCTACTTATCAATCAGAACAGCCCTAAATTCTGAAGATCCCTTTTCTTTCAATGTTTAATCCTTAAACAAGCATCAACCCATATGAAAAGCTAAGCCAAAGAGCTGTTTGGAAAGAAAACTGTGAATTTGGAAATTAACAACCTCTCTGATAATGGTTTAAATATATCACGTCCTAGGGCTTGAGAGATGGATCTGCAGTTAAGAGCATGTATTGCTCTTGCAGAGCTGGGTGTGGTTCCTAGCATCCACATGGTCATTTACAACCACATGTAATCTAGTGATTGATGCTGTGTTGGTTCCACATGCATGCATGTGTCCCCCCTTTCAGCGTATACATATAAAATACACTTGGGAAACAAAGCTTCATGATATAATAATAATAATAATAATAATAATAATAATAATAATAAATAATACATCCTAACTCCCTCCTTCAGTCCAATATTCTGTATAGTTTGAACTTTTAACTTCTCCACTGGAAGAAGTCTTCCTTCAGTTTTTCAAAAGGTAGAAACAACTCTGTTCTAAGTTCAGTCCAGTCACTTACATGTAGAACAGGACAGGAAGGTACAGCTGCTATCTTCAAACACTTCTCAGCGTTTTCAAGCTCCTGGGACTTACAACTGTACAGCATTCCAGGGAGTAAATTTGGGTTATTACTTAGGGATGCTAATACCAGGAAGGCTTCTTTTATAGTTAACTTCCCTAAGGCTAAAGATGACCTGGCAGAGGGAAATTACACTGGTGATTCACATGACTGATAATGATTGCAGGAAACTGTTAAGTTTCTTTCTCTTAAATTCTTTTTTCTTTGTGGGAGGTGGGTTTGAATGCTTGGTCTCTAGCTGATGGAACTGTCTGGAATGAGGTGTGGCCTTGTTTTAGGAGGTTTGCCATGGCTTTGATGTTTCAAAAGCCCAAGCCCAGTTAGCTCTCTCGGCCTGTTTGTAGTGCCCTGCCCGCCGGGTGGCCACCACCATCCCACCATCCCACCATCCCACCATGATGGTCATGGATTCTGCTCCTTGGAACTGAAAGCTCCAAATTAAGTAATTTTTAAAGTTGCCTCAGTCATGGTAACAGAAAAGTAATTAAGACTGTGGGCAACACTGAAGATTGAGCATCAGTTTTCGTGCATGCTAATCAAGTACTACATCCCAAGCCATTCCAAGCTTAAGGTTTCTTTGAAGTCAAACACCATTACTTCCAGACCAGTAAACGTATACAGTGAACCTTAAAAGCTCTTGCCTTGATTTTAGATTATGCATCTTAGCCCGTGAGACATTCCCAAACAGGTTATCTCAAATATAGCCATCTCCCAGAGAAAAGAGCCAGTTAGCCACATCTGATAAAATACTCCATGTTTTTGATCCAAATAATTTCTCCCCATGAAAATGACTAATATGAAAGACACAAAGGGAGGCACTCACCGGCATCCTGTAACAACTGAAAAATACAGCTGGTAATCTTATTGGAGATTGCAGCTTTGCCTTCCATATGGTTCTTTCTAGCTGCATTTCCTGCTGTAATCTGGTCCTTGGACTGCAGGAGGACTTTTCCTGGATTATCTAACAATTCATAGACTTCTTTTGTCTTACCCTCATAGAGTTTTCTCCCAATGTTCAGTACTGTGGAAATAAAACAGAATTATCAGATTCAGGGAGATTTCCCAAATATTAAAGAACCAGCCACGTGTGTTGGTGGCACACACCTTTAATCCCAGCACTGTGGAGGCAGAGGCAGAAGCATCTCTGTGAGTTTGAAGCCAATCTGGTCTACAGAGCGAGATCCAAAGCTACAGAGAAACCCTGTCTCAAAAAACAAAACAAAAAAAGAAGAACCAGCTAAAATGGTGAATCACTGCATGGGCAGTGATTAATATAAATAAAAAACAACGAAAACTATACTTATACTCACCAATGTAGTTTTCTCATGAATCATCACATAATTTTGTTAGTTTAACTTTATTAACTACAGATCAGAAAACTAAGGCTCACAAAAGTTGAGGCCACACATTTAGTATATGCAGAACTAGAAATAATCCCAAATCTTCTGATATCAACATCGTGCTTTCTCTAGTATCAGCCTGTCTTTGAAATAAAACAATTAAAATTAACGTAGCCATAGTAGTTATTTTTGCACATACAACTATAATATATTATTTAAACTGATTTACAGGAGAAAAATGATTTATTTTTCCTGACTTTTCATAACAAGCTAAATGGGAAAATTCAGAACAATTTCTTGATTTCAAATTAATGTGTAAGAGGCTCCTTCACTCCTTTGAAAATATCTGATAGGTGGTGGAGGTAGTGACAACGGAGCTTGCATAACATGTAAAAGGTCTAGGTTGAAAGTCTAGTACCAAAGGAAAAACAAACAATTCCAAACCAAACGACATTTTTATGACGATATTCTGAAGCCAGCCCCACCCCACTCCTGCTAGGCATGGTGACAACACAGGCTTTCCTCCATTTACATTTAGATTAGTTAGCCCTACTGCAAGAACACCGTTATTCAATCCTCTGCCACCAGTGCCCTCTCCACTGAGGATGTAGGAGAGTACCAGGAAATGAATGCAAAAGGGTTTTCCTTTTCTGAGACAGGGTCTTACTCCATAGCTCTGGCTAACCTGGAATGCCCTTTGTAGACAAAGCAGGCTAACCTCAAACTCAGAGAAACATCTGCCTCTGCTTTTTTGACTAAAGATGTGCATCACTAGACCAGGCAAAAACATCTCAGTTTAACGTCAGTCACAGTGCCTAAAAGACACTAGACTCTATATTAAAATGATATAGTTGAAAATTAAAAGTAACCAGAGTTTAAAATTATAGGGAATTTGCTTCTCATGTTTCCACAACACATTTATCCTCAGTACTTTTCCAGTGTATCTGTATGCCAGGACCATGGAGTAATAGCAAATGAAATCTAGTTTCTGTTCTCAAGGGACCTGAGAGTCTTGAAGGAAGCTGGTAATAAATAAGAAATCATAATAAAATAAAACAAGGTAGAGACTATTGACAGCAGGACCACCTTAGTTACACCAGAGAAGTCTATAACAAATAGAAGCTTCACGGAGACCTGAAAATGATCAAAACTTAACAAGGGTAGTTAAAAGTGACAACTTTTGCCAAATAGTGCAAGTGCATAGGTGCTCAGCACAGCTGTGCACTCAGTGTAGGAATATTTAGATTGGACGTGGTTAGAGCAGCTAGTAGACAGAACAGCAGGAAGGAAAGTAGAAGAGATATTTGAGGAGGCCAGACTGTTCTACGTGGGCAACTCCAGGACATCCAGTTACAGTGAGACTCTGCCTGGAAAAAACAAAACTAAAGAATTGATTAGGCCACACCACCAGCTATCACAGGAAAACAATTAAGTGCCCATGAAAAATCAATGGCCTAACATTGGTTCAGTGTTCTTAAAATTAACGTAGGAGGCAATTCCTTGTTGGCTAAGATTTTTCTTGAAATGGATGGATGGGAGACTTGGTCACAACCGTGTGAGCTAGTTTTTGAACTAGACCAAACTAGGTTTCCGAAACATTAGTTTTACAACCTGTTCCCTATACAGCTACTCACTTTTCCCCCTAAACTACCTAGAAATAATTTTCCTATGAGAAAATCTAACGTTTGGTAGCATCAACTACATTCCTCTAACTGATCTGTTTTCAACCTTTCTTGTGGTTCAAAACTGTAAAGAGGCCAAGCGGTGCTTATATAGGTCTTTAATCCCAGCACCTGGGAGGCGGAGGCAGAGGCAGAGGCAGTCAGATCTCTGAGTTTGAGATCAGCCTGGCCTATAGAGCAAGCCAAAAAAAAAAACAAAAAAAAAGGCAAAACGGAAAAAAAAAACACCCAACAACAACAACAACAAAACAAACAAAAAACCTGTAAGGAGGCCATCTTTTAAAAACTCAATACATTATTCAAAGTTACTTGCCTTTGGGTATCTGGTATTACAATCCTAATTATCGATAAATAAATGTAATTTTCCTTTTTTCCCAACTAGACTAAATTTGATCCCGGGTTGACACCAGTGATAAGCAATTTGATTAACAATTTCCACTGTGGTATATTAATCTAATGTTCAGAAAGATTAACAGAATTTTAAAAAGCCCTGTAGGATATAGCTCCAGTTTTGAACTCTAAATTTATTTCTCTATTTCCTTTCTGGAACTTCAACTTCTTTTTGTGTCCTCTTCCCAGGCCTTTTGAAAACTGTTGCCTTCCATCTAATTCACTACTCATTGTTAATCAACCATGTTGAGTTAAAATGTAACCTGAGAACCAGAGGGTTGTTGTAAGTACAAAAGAGCACAAGACAGACTCAATATATTTAAAAGAAAAGGGTTTTAGTCTAGACTCATATTTAAAGAAATAAGAGACTGGAAAGAAGTTTCTACAGTTAAGAGTGTAACTGTTCTTGCTTAAGACCCAAATTTGGCTCCCAGCAGCCACACTAGGTTTGGCTCACATTCATTCACTTGTACTCTAGCTCCAGGGAAGGATCCACTAGCACCTATACTCACAAGCACAAATCCACACAGACACACAATCAATGACCAAAAATAAAATGGGGGATGGAAAAAAAAACAACTCAGCAATTAAGGGCACAACCCAGGTTCAGTTTCCCGTACCCACATGGTGGTTCTCTCAGAAACATCCTAAACTCCAGTTTCAAGGGATTTGAACATTTTCTTCTGACCCAGGGACACATGAAACACATCACACTATGGTGCATATACATACATGCAAAACATTTTAAAAAAAAGCAAAATAAGTATTTTTAAAACTAAAAATTGTAATGGGCTAAAATAAAGTCAGGCACCTCTAGTCTCAGTATTTTGGAAGGGGAAGCAAAAGTTAAATTCCAGATTCTGCTACATAATGAGTTTCAGGCCAGCCTGTGTGGAATCTCAGATAAAATAATTTGGCTAAAATAAAATTAGGTAAGCAAACCAAAGGTTTCTACCTATTGTTCTAAAATTTACCCAAATCTATATTTGCCACCTAGTCTTTAGTGATTTTAAATAATGGGCATAGAAAATATAGGTGTGGAGCCCAGTTTCAATAGATACATTTACCAAAAAACCCTCTGTATCAAAGGCTCAGAGAGCATCATGGAAGATGGGGCAGAAAGATGGTAAGAGCCAGAGGAATGTAATTTGCTGTGAGATTGTGTTCTCCCAGTAACATCAGAAGCTTCACCCTTAAAGTCTCACCAGCACGACTGTCCAAATGTGAGTTGAGAGGGGATACCAATGGACATGCCGAGGTGAATGGAGAAAACCAAGGCTTCAACCCTACACAAAGAGCTGTAGGCAACTAAGGGAAGCTGGGTTTGGAGAGGTGGTCTTCCCCAGCGCCACTGGGGCCCTGTGCTAAATGGTCAGCCTCAAAAACGGAATACAAATAACACACTGTTATTTGGGCCAAGTAGGTTATATTTAATATATGAGTATGTAGATAAGCATATGCACACAATAACAGTTAACAAAAAGAACAAAAAGAGAGTTAAGGAGAGTGGGAGGTTGTCTGGGAGTATGTGAGGAAGAAAAGAGAGGGGAGAAATGTTATAAAATTAAAAACGAACAATAGAAAGACCAAAACATTTGAAAAATATGTAGGAAGCATATGCTTCAAAATGCTTGTTAAAATGACTTAAAAATTAATAGGCTAGGTAAGCATGTTATATGTGCCTTTAATCTCAACAAGCACTGTTGAGTTCCAGGCCAGTCAAGGCTATACAAGAGACCCTGTTTCAACACCAACACACATACCAAAAACAAACAAAAAAACCAACTCCATAAATAGGTGAATTCAAACAGAGACAGATGAGGTCTGAGATGTTTCATGAATTTTTAACTCTTACAAAACCCAAACAAACTGGCTAGCCCTGTGCTGCCAGGTAAGGATACATATTGAAACACTTTGAGTACAAACAAAAAAGGTCTTTTAGAAAGCACAAAAGCCACATCTATTAAAAGGGCCTTTAACTCCAGTTCCAGGTGACCAGACACCCTCCAGACTTCTCAAGCATGCCCAAACATAGCATCCACTCACATATATAAAAGGGGGAGGAGGGTATGGAACCGAACAGGGAAGATTCTAGAGATTTTACCAGTTTAGAAGCACAGGCACCCTGATCTCAGAAAAATTCTGGGCAAAAGTCCCAATTTATGAAGCTGTGGCACAGTTTTTGTTGTTTTGTTTCTTGCTTTTTATAAGTAGGAAAGAATGTGCTGGGCGCCAAGACAATTTACTTCATTATCTAGAAACTTTTGTTGTGGTCCAAGACAGCGTTTTATTAGTATAAAAGCTATAAACCACCTTTCCTGAGGCTCTTCAAATGCACAAACAAAATGGTAGCCTAATTAACTATAATCTATCAAACAAAAAGTGATAAAGAAACGTTTCCCTTCGATTTTGGGGCTCTCCAAAGTTATGGCATCAAAGACTACCAGCCAGTACTGATCACTACTCGCCCACACCCATAAACCGAAATTCTAGGCAAGCCTGGACTACAAAGCTAGCAATTTACCAAAACAAAAAATCTGGACCCATAGTCATAATATTAAACTATTAACCTTACGGCAGAAGGGACTATTGGCGTATTAAGCTTAACAGATTAAACAGGAGTTGAAAATTCTGCAGGATTTTCCTGATCGTTTATCTATTACAGTTTCTAGGCACTTCGTTAGTTTCTGGCCATTTCTCCTCCGTAGTACCTTCGCACTCTGTTACTTTCCTCCAGTCCCGGGGCCATTTCTGGGTATTTCTGGAGGCCTGGGTGCTTAGTGTCCAATGCACGTCTCCCAGAGCTTGGACCACGTGTGCAGGATCCGGGCACCAGCGCCATCGTGGGGAAGCGAGCGGGTCACTGTACCAGGACGGCTGCAATCCGACCCCAGGGCCGCCCGTGTGAGCGCGCCAAGCATGCTAACTTCCTGCTGGAGGGAGTGGTGGGAGACCCAAGCCCGCTACTCACCCTCAGCTGTCGCCATTATCCCTGGTGGGAAGGAGGTGTAGACGGCGCGGGAAAGAGAAGCAGCGCTCCGGAAAACAAGAGCGATCAGGGAAGCTTAGCGGTGCAGGAAAGGGCGGCGCAACGCAAGACACGCCTCTAGACAGAGCAGTTATTCCTAGTCCGTCCTTGCCACCCGACGACGACCGCTAAAATCTGGCGGGGTCTGGTGCTGGGATCGTGTCCTCAGGCTTCCCGCCGCGCAGGCGCACTGACGCGACCCCGCTTCCGGGCGGCCCCGCGTCACAGCTCCCAGCAGCGAAAAGTGGCCCGCAGGCTGGGGCCCCCGCCGGCCCGGAGAGGGTTCGGACTGGGTTGGAGCATACCAAGTCCTGACTACCGGGGGACGGCGTGCGGCCGGGCGCACGCACAGCTCAAATCTTATGAGGGATAAACACCACTAACGGCGCTCTTCTCACCTCTTAAATCTAGGGAGCGGGAAAATAACGGAGATTGCCACGTGCAGGAACACTAGCGCTCCTGACCTCGCCCGCACAGAAGTAACCCCACCCCCCTTGACTCCATAGCTCCTCCCCCGTTCCGTGCCGTAGCTGATTGGCGGGGCGCTGGAGGCCGAGCTGGCCACGCCCCCTCTGGGAAAGCGCGCGCCGCCGCAGTAGCGAGAACCTAGCCCGCGGTGAAGGAGGAGGCAGTATTTAGCTTGAGCTTCTGAAGCGAACTGTAGCAGAGGGGACAGCTGGTTGGCGCTTGGACCACGCCGCGGCAGCAGGTCCCTCCACGTGCTTACGGCGGCGCCATGGAACTGGAGGAGTTGGGGATCCGTGAGGAATGTGGCGTGTTCGGGTGCATCGCTTCTGGAGAGTGGCCCACGCAGCTAGATGTGCCGCATGTGATCACTCTGGGACTCGTGGGGCTGCAGCACCGGTGAGCAACAGGATGAGGGGTGGGGGTGGAGTGGCAAGTATTTGCACAGCTCCGCGAGAGGCTTCCCAGCTCTGGCGAGCTATGGAGACCGCAGGACTGGGAGGTGGATCTCGCGAATCAGGACCAGTACCTGCTCCGGGCATTGACCAAGTGGGGGTGGGGTACACCTTACCTCATAGACCTAGCCTGTCGCGTTCCTTCCTAATGCTCTTTACTCGTTCACTCCAAGAATGTGCACCTCTCCTGCGATTTGTTAGGCTCGAGTTGTTAGGCTCGAGTTTGCTTATACTAGCCAGGTTGGGAAGGAATCGTTCAGATCTCCTTGAACCTAGAATTGTTATTGAGATAAGCTTCTGTAAGGTGGTGGTTGTTGGTGAAGGTCCTCCAACACTTGTATTTTTTTTGTTTTTTACGTGTGGCCTCCAGCTTGCAGAATCTTTGTTTGCAAGGGCAGAGCTATTGAGCAGATTGTCAGCCCTAAAGCAGTTACAGGTCTGGGGATTGTGGGCTTGAAAGTAGTTACAGCTGCGGGGATTTGGGGAGTTCAGACCCAGACAGGGAAATAGGAATAGTTCGTTTTCAAAACGAGTTACGCCGTAGTAGTGGATTTCATATACGTTAACTTAAATCACTGGGGGAAGATTGATTGGTAAAGTTTTAAATAATAAATGAAAACAGTAAGAGGCAATAGGGAGCCCTCTTCTTTAAAGGGAGAGAGGTAGTGCTTGATATCAGAAATTGGGAGATGCCTTCGAGGTAAACAAAACAAAAAACCGAGCCCGGCGTTGGTGGCACACGCCTTTAATCCCAGCACTCGGGAGGCAGAGGCAGGTGGATCTCTGTGAGTTCGAGACCAGCCTGGTCTACAAGAGCTAGTTCCAGGACAGCCTCCAAAGCCACAGAGAAACCCTGTCTCGAAAAACCAAAAAAAAAATTAAGAAAGAAAGAAAGAAAAAACCTTTGCTTCCATAATCTTTCCTTTTCTTGCCGCCTGACTTAACTGGCAGTTGTTATAAATCTGTTGACTAGGGTCTGCATGCCTCCCCAAAGTATCACAAAGTTTCAGAACAACTTCTAGAACAGAGCTGCACAATAACATTTATCAGCAATGTGGGTGCCACATGTATTTCCAATTTTTGTATTTGAATTTCACATTCTGTATACTCCTTGGTTTATTAAAAAACATCTCGGAGCCAGGCATGATGGCATACTTCTTTAATCCCAGCCATCTGGAGGCAGAGGCAGGCTGATCTCTAAGGTGAGTTCAAATCTATCCTGGTCTACCCAGCAGGTTCTAGGACAACCAGGGTTAAACAGAGAAACCCTGTCTCAAAACAGAAAACAGGCCAGACAGTGGTGGTGCATGCCTTTAATCCGAGCACTCAGGAGGCAGAGGCAGGTGCATCTCTGAGTTTGAGGCCAGCCTGGTCTACAGAGCAGCATCCAAAGCTGCAGAGAAACCCTGTCTCGAAAAACCAAAACAAACAAACAAACAAACAAAAAACACAGAAAACAAAAAAGCATCTGGAATGAATCAACGCATTTTTTTAAACCTGAGTATCTTGAGTTGACCTGTAATAGAGTTCTCATTTTTAAAATGTACAAACTGAGCTTGTTCAATTTATATTTTTAGAAATATGCACAAACCCATGTAACAACAATTGATGAGAAAGGAGGGGTGTGTGGGAGGATTTGGAGAGTGGAAGGGAAAGGGGAAATGATGTAATTACAGTCTTAAAATCTATTGAGCTGAGCGGTGGTGCACTCCTTTAACCCCCGCACTCAAGAGGCAGAGGCAGGTGGATCTCTGTGAGTTGGAGACTAATTTCTTACATAGGTAACCATTTAGAATAGTACCTGGATGTAAGTATGTTCTATGACTCTGCCCCACACTTAGGTGTGCACTCAGGAGATGTTTGTTGACAGATACACAAGTGCATATAATGGTCTCAAACTGAAGAAAACTGGAATATTATAGTGGAATGGAGTGGGGAAGTGATGGAATGCCTACTCGTACAGTAGATCATTCCAGAATAAGACAAAGAAAAAATTCTTAATCCAAGCACAATAAGGGAAGCATCATGAGCGTTGCTGCATGAGAAAAACTTGACATTTAAAAGTTCACACTAGGAACAGAAAAAAAAAGCACAAATCTTAAGCTAATCTATGATGAGATTGATTAGTAATGGTCTTTATGGGGTGGAGTTAATAGCTAGCAGGCTTATAGAGGGGCTAGTATTCTTTGCTGGTCTGGTATTTTTTTTTAATTTATTTTCTTCAAAAGATAAAAAATTCTTAACTTGATCATATCTACAAAGGTATTTTCTTTTTTTCTGATAACTTTTTTATTAGTTCAAATTAGGAGCAAGATTGTTTCACATGTCAGTCCCTTCTCCCTCTCCCTCCCCTCCCCCCAT